AATGAGGATGTAGGCCCACCTGCCGTATCCTCTCCCATCTCAACATCTTCCGAGCCATTCACGCCATTCTCCGTCGGGTCGGACCCGTTGGCACGCGGCTGATCACGCTGCTCACCCATTCCGGAGTTGGCAGTATTATTCGACGAGGCGCCTTTCGTGGTAGAGGCAGCTTTGGCCTTGTTGGCAGCAGCGCGGGTAGGCGCCGGCTTATCTTTATTGGAACTAGAGCTCTGCGAAGTGGAGCGTCCCTTCTCACCGTTAGCAGATGAAGAGGTATCTGACTTGCTGTTCGATCTCAGAGAGCGCCTTTCAGCCGGCATCTTTCGTTGGAGTTTCTTGTCTGATTCTTTTTTTCCAGCTTTGGAGCTCAGGTGAGCACTGGGGACCGCGGTACCGGAGACACAGGAAGGGGGTAGGATGAAAGACCACTATCCAGAGTCCGGGGATGCAGGAATGAAAATGACAAGAGTCACAGCGAGCGAAGCCAAAAGGACCGAGATGCGGGGCGGGGGGGATGATGAAAAATGGGGGATTGGGTTGGAGTTTGGGAGCAGATGGTTGATGAGGTGGTGATGTGATGTCAAGGCTGGCTCTGGATGGACAGCGAGAGAACCAGCACAGGAGCTTAGTCAGTGTCGGGCCAGTTGGGGGATCGAGCTTACCAACGGAGCAACCGGTCAGCTGTGAGACCGGCGTGACGCGCTCTCGGGTTCTGTCACGTCTGGCTAGGAAGCAAGAAAGATCGGGTTGGTGGTTCGGAGAAGAGGCAATGGTCGCGTGGGAAGGGTTTCAATCCGATTGCTGGTAGAGAAGAAGGTCCGAATTGCTGGAGAGTTTCGGTTGCAGGCAGTTCGGGGTTGCGTTGCCACCAAATCCTCATTCCCGGGCAGTTCAGACCGCCTGAGGCAGAAACAGCTGGGAGCTCTGCTTGGCGTGTTTACCCGTGTTGCTTGGACCAGTTACTAGTTTAGTCTATTGATTGTTGTTTCTCCTCCCCCCGCAGCGATAACCAACTAAACTCACTGAAGCACAAGTTCCCTTTTTGCACATCCCTCGACACAGAACAGAAAAATGTCGCTCCTTGAAAGTCATCTAGAGCAGATCTCACTGTCTTCTAATGCCATTGCGGAGCTACCGTATGCATCCCCCTCTCACCTTGCTTCGTACCCGGCATTGATTGTTTCTGCCCCAGGTTTCCCCAACCGCGGATCTTCACCAATGCGCTGCTAGGCCCCCACGATATCACCTCCTTGATTCGAGATACGGAGGCTCATGAACGGGCTCTCTTTCAATCCGATCCCTCCGTCAAATCCGTCGGCTCACAGCGACGTCCCACCCGACGCGGCACGCAGTTTGCGCAGGATTCAGAGGGCGAGTCCATGGCAAGTCGGATTTATTCCGCTAGAGATAACAAGAGTCAATCAGCTGTCGCAAGGGTTCTGGGTGCTGATATGATGGAGGAGATCAAGCGATCCGCTGGCACGTCGAGTAGGGGTCGTGGTGAAGTCAATGTCGACGTTCTACTCCAGGGCGCAGAGATTCTCTGCAATGTCTAGTACGCTCTTCACTCCTCTTCAAGTGCCAAGTCCTGCTTACAATTACTGACTACATGCACAGTCCTGTCGCTGGTGCACATGAGAAAATAGCCAGTCTACGTTATCGTCACGAGTTGATTTCAGGTTCAATTAATGAACTGGAGGCACGTGTGGCTAGAAACACCGCAGAGTTGGAAAAGATGAGCCACTCCTACGGAGATGACTTTGATGAATATGATGGCATCGATTCCACACCGCCCGAGGTGGCTGATGTTACGGATGCAGACCTTGAGCGAGAGATGGCGGAGATCCGCGAGCTGGAGAGAAAGAAACGCACATTGGAAGCCCGTGTTCACGGCATGGAACGAGACCTGGGTGGGTTGTTGGGTTGAGAGCTCGGGAAGCTCTATTCTATTTACCAGTTTAGCGAGACCGTGGTGTCAAGTGCTCACAATGTCGTCTCAATACTCAGAAGGCAGGCCGTCTCCATACAGATACGGTGGACACCGCTATTACTATGGCTGATTCAGACGGCCGTCATTGATACGACAGGAAGTCTCCCTGGAAACAATGTCTAGCCCGACAAAACATCCCAGCTTCGATGGATGCTGTGCGGCTTCTCCCCGCCTTAGCTTCTTTGCCATTATCGCTAGATATGCTGCAGCTTCTAACCCGGGCAAGTCCGGCCACGAAGACTCATCACGACTGCGTGCTTGCGCTTATATCGTCTTTGGCTTTCACCAAGGATGTACCGCGATATCGCCTGCGAAAAATCAGCTAATTCTGGCTAGCCTTTGGGCGCATCATCTCATTGCGACTCATACAGGCATAACGCGGCTATTCTGAGCAATGGATTTGGTACGTTCCACATCAAAGATCTCTATCAGTTTGTGTATAGGCATGGCCAACCCGCACCAATTGAGTGTCCTGGGTTTTTCCAGGGAAAGACCATATCACACAAGGATTTCATGATTTGATGAGGTATCGGGTCTTGTGTTACTTTGTTAAATCAGAAATTATCCTTATTTGAGTGCGCTGTTGTAACCATCACCTAGCCCTGGCTTCATCTCTGTAGAATCAGTAGTCTCCCCTAGAGCCCACCGCACCTTTCTTATTACTCAATTATCCTTGTCTTAGTTACGCAACAGCGTATATAAAAGCGTTTTCTCATCGCACCGTCATCGCTTCGCTCCGTCCGGGAGAGGGGACCGAACCATTAGATGAGTGTTACTCCAGAAATGTCTCATTCAATACGTCACTTTACGGAAGTGTTCAATAGAGCCGAAGTTGTCTGTAAGACGAACATCGGTCAAATTCAGAGATCCTATTGTTGAGCAAGCCTTATAAAGGGGATTGGGTGTTACTCGCTCTCCTCACTTCTTTTGCTGGTTATTCAGAACCGGCAGCGAGCACTCGTGCCAAGCCTCAGGCTCGCCGACCCCCATTAGGATCTCCAAATCTCTCACTTCTTTCCCCCGGTCAACCCTCCCCTCCGCTCCTCCAATCCTCTCAAACGAGGTATAGCTGCGATCTTTGAAAGCCTTCTGCTCCTAGGTCTACTCTTATCTAGACTCGTTTCGTTCGGATAAAAGTTTACCTTCTTTAACGCCTGTCGGGGCGCTCGGGACACGTGCCTGAGAATCCCGTTCTCCGCTATCCCAACAGTGTTATCCAACCTCTCCCCCCCATCGCAGACTTCACTTTCCCCCCACAACGCAGCCCAATCACCATCATCATCGGGATGGACAACTCACAGGCACAGCCCCAGGCTGCTCAACCCCAGGCCCCTGCAGCCCAGCCGATGATGCCGCAGCACTCCAACCTGATCCGAACCGACCAAGTCCAGAAGCTTCCCCATCTCAACGACCAGCAGAAAGCCCAGCACACCCAGCTCGTGCGGACCTTATGGGAACATCTCAATAGTCGGGAACCGCAGACTACCGAGTATCAACAGGCTCATGCGAGACTCACCCAGATATCCCAAAATCTCATGAAAGGCATGCGCGCTTTTCAGCAAAGCCGCCAAATGCAACACCAGCAATTGCAAGCGGCAAACGCAGCGCAACCAGGTCAACCAGTCCAGCGATCGCAGTCGGTTAATCCGCAGAACTTCGCGCAGCTTCTCCCTCAGATTCAGCAGAAAGTCAACACTCTGCAGTTCTTCCTCCCTCCGAACATCAGCAACGAGCAGGCCCAGACCTGGCTCCCCGAAGCCAAACTACGATATGGGATCGCGCTTCAGAAGCAGGAGATCGGACGGGCGCGAATCGCGGATCTCAGACAACAGTTTGCGACGCGTCAGTCTGCGGGAAATATGACTCAGGAGGAGGTGCAGGAGTTCAAGAACCGGCAACTTGCGGCGGAGAAGCTTTACCGCGAGGGAAGCGACTTCCTGAACAAATTCAAGGAACAGCAGGATACCTTCAAGGCCCAGCAACAGCGAGCTGGTGTGCAACAACATGTTCCTGCTCAAGCGCATCCACAGCAAGCTCCTAGTCAAGCTGCGCCCGGTACAGCTGCAGGCCCCGCCGACGGCCGTCCACCAAGCGTCCCCGGCACCATGCATCCAGGCCAGACCCCTACCCCGGCGCCTCACACTATCACATCGGCAGTTTCCGCTGCACGCAACCAGGCGGGACAGACTGCGATGTCGCCTTCGACTTCTCAGCCCGGTCAAACGCCAACCACCCAGGGCGCCACGCCTGCCGTCCCTGCTGTGCCCCAACAGCAACCGCCACAGCAAGCACCCCAGCAACAGCCACAGGCCCCGGTCCAGGCACAGTCACAGCAGGGCCCACCAGGCTCACAGGTCACCTTCACTCAAGTCCCCAATGTCGACGGTTCAACTCCCACTCCTCCTGGGGCTCAGACCATGGTCCAACCTCGTCCTTTGTCTCAGCAGGCTGCCATGGCTCAAGCTGCGCAGAACTACTCTAACAACAACGTTAACAACAATAACATGAATCAGCAGCAGAACGTCACTCAGCCTGGCGCCAACACCCACGCTCACCCCCAGGGCTACATTCCCAACCGCTCTGCCGACACTAACGCGCGTAGCATCAACATGGCCATCCCCAAGAACTTGAATGTGCCTCCTCCAGAGCCCGTCAACATGGCTCCTGCTCGGCCCACGTTATCTGGCGGACCCAGTCACGGTGCAGTGGGTGTGATGAATCAGCCTGCAATCCAGAAACACCCCGGCTACGTGCTCGAGGGTGAAGGTCAGCGCGTTCTGAGCAAGAAGATGCTGGATATTCTCGTTCGTCAGGTCACTGGTGGTGGAGAGGGCGAAGGACTCACCCCCGATGCTGAAGAGGTAAGTCCCGTGATTTCCCAGGATCCTTCTCAGAATCAATAAAAGTCTAATTCCCCTACGTGCAGTTCATCCTTCAGATGGCAGATGACTTTGTTGACGATGTGATCACGGATGCCTGCCGTCTCGCCAAACTCCGCCCGTCCTCGACTCTCGAGATTCGCGATATTCAGCTTGTCTTGGAGCGCAAGTACAATATGCGCATTTCCGGATTTTCCACTGACGACCTGCGTACTGTCAAGAAGCCTCAGCCCACTCAAGGCTGGACCCAGAAGATGTCCGCCATTCAGGCTGCCAAGGTAACCCAAGGCAAGGCCGAATAAATAACGGCGACTTCCTTAATTTCTCATACATTACGACTTTCACGCGCGCGCTCTACTTTCGGTCTGCAATATGAGCCTCGATTCACCTCTCTTACAGACGAGAAAAACACAGAAGATGGGCGTGCACGAATGCACTTGTTCTACCTATCCATTTCCCTCCACAACTCCAAATTCACAACATCAAAACAAAATAAAACAAAAGTGTCTCTAACAGCAACTGCAAGATATGATCAAATCACTGGTTCGAGGTGGCGTTTACGGGAGGCGGCAGGTGGTCTTTTTTTACTCTAGTTTACTCTTGCGATTTACTTCTTTCCGTTCCTCCAACCACGCTCAGTCACATCCTCAACATTCTATTCACAGTGACTCGTTGATGGATCGGAAAGAACTTTTTCAAGCATTTTGCTATGGCGTCATCTGTGTTTTCATTCACCCTCTGGTATCTTCCTTTTGCCCTTTGCAATTCACGCCGCCCTTTTTGTTGTTCCCTTTTCTTTCGAAGCCAAGCTATAGTCATTCTTCTATGGCGTAGTGGTTTTTCTCTTTAATGCACCCTTTTGTCTCTTTTTTCTCTTCCCCCACTTATGATGAACCTTCTCATCTGTTTCTATCTTTTTTTTCCCTTGCCTATTAAGGCTTCTTCCTGCTTACTGCTTACACTGGACTACGGTTGTTTCCCTGCTCGGTTACGCTGGTTGTTCAATTTGTTCATGGAAATACCCACTTAGGCAAAGTAGTGTCGGTGCGAAATGAATTATGACTTGGATTTGTGGGCTGAAAATATTCTCTTTCTCTTCCTTGAAGTTATGAGTATATTGGTGTGGTAAGTGATTGGTATACACAGATGGTATATCTACGCCTCAATTACACAACGTTACGATGAGGCATCAATAGCAGTAAAGCTGTAGTGGTAATCAGGATATGATATTCATTGAACAAAAAAGGCGATGATGGTATCAATTCTCTACTTGCTGTGCGTCTTCTATCAATCTTCTAAAGGAAAGACGAGCTCAATGAGATAAGAGGAATGAAAAAAAGAAAAAAGCAGAACATCAGTGGAAAACACCAACAGAATTAAGTCGCTCGAACCTGCTCACGCGCACAAGTCGCTTCTCCCGTCCATGTATACAATCAAACAGAGGCCCAATGATGCCAACAACCAGACAATGTATGCTAAGCCAAAAGATGTGGAAAGGGCAAGGAAAGAAATATAGTCAGTCAAAGAGTGAAGCTGGTTAAGAATTCCAGAGGTAGGGAAGAATTCAGCAGTATGAAGTTTGCACAAAGGGAACAAAAAATATGAGGAAACAGTAGAAATATTTAATACAGGAAAGTTGGGGGGTCATTTCGAAGCAAGTGGGTTGGTACCAGTTGATTCTCCATGGCCAATGATCAAAATGCACAAGCTAGAAAGCTTTCAGTCAACAGAACGGGCTGTCGAGACATGACACTAGGAAAGAGGAGAGAGAATGAAGACGGACAATAGAATAGAGTGAGAGACAGGTAGTTGATACAAAAGATGTTAAAGACATGATCGAATATTGCTTGCCATGCTGTGTTGTAGAAATGAAAGTACAGCCCCCACAGTGATACCAATTGATCAAGGAAATGATCAGTATCAAGCAGGAGCCATTGGGATGTCAGGGTTGATTCTGACAGACGGGCAGTGCCCGATGATGCAAAAGGGATCACATCAATCGTGGTAACATGAGACTATCACAGAGATGCTTGCGGGACAAAGGTGGAAGATGAGAGGAAGATGCGTTGCGGGCAGCAGTAGAGGATCCGTGGCGCCAGGGTATGAACAAAGCATTATGAGCTGCGAACGAGGATATCATGAAAAACGACGGGAAATCAGCACCGTAACAAGTTATTGTCTGCCTGAGACAGATACCATGCCAGATTGCTCATTTCGAGACGCTGCCTTGCCTTTTCCAGCGAAGGGCATCCCATTTTGTTGAGGAACCGGAGGGAGTTCCTTTTCCGCCGCAGAAGATGGCCCGTGGCGACTATGCTGGCTTTGCCCTCCAACGCTGCTGGCCTCCCCAGCCTCGTCAACGATCGGCAAAAATGAAGGCGCAACGACACCGCTAGGGTCTGACGGGTCTCGAACAGTCGACAGCGTCCGAGGCTGGGCGTGCGAGACATCCTTGGCAGCCTCCTTCTCAGCTGCTTGCATAGTCCGTTCAACAGACTCGGAACGCTCCACTGAGGGCCTACCCTCTGCTCGGGCTTCCCGATGTCGTTCGGCCTCCTCCTTGGACATTGTGATGCCCTTGATGAAGTTGATGAATCGATCACCGTAGCCCTCCGGTGGTATAGGCGAGATTTGCGTCCGGTCATGTGAAAGACCTTTGAAGAAGTGTTCGATCTTCTTCACCATTCCATACTGCACAGCCAGTTAGTCAAGAGACCCAATTGTCGCAACGCAATTAACTTACGTGAGTCAAGCAGTCAATGATTCCGAGATAGTAGATCTCCTCGCCAGGCTGACCGTTTTCATGCGTGGCGCGGAATCCACCATCATCCGCATAGAAGACATGGAACTTCCTTTCATCAAGGATCTCCTCGGGCATCTTAGCGGCCGCTTTATCAAGCGGCACGGGACGCTCACGCTTGATCAGCATGCGCAGTTCGCGGGCCTTGCGCTCATTCTCCAGTTTGGAAGGTGTGCGCATCAGCATATTGGGACTGGCTTCTTCCTCGCGATCACCCCCGGGTTGGAAAACCTGTAGAGTCTTGTCCCGCAGCTTCTCCTCATTCCCTCGTCCCACATCGTGGATACCCACTAAGAGAGAGTAGTCCATGATCTTTAACTTCTTCAGCAATTCAACATCCCGTTTTAGCTGAGCTAGAAAGAAGTCCCGCTTTGACGGACCACACTGTATCTCGCGATTCCTCCGGACCCAGTTCAAATCCTTCAATGTCGCTCTTGGGTTCTTCTCCAAATCTTCCTCGCGCAAATCACGTCCGATCATGGAACCCTTCAAGTCGAATGTCTGGTGGATATCGCGGTGAGGAGGGAACAGGTTGTTCATGACAACAAAGTGGATCTTGCGACCATAGGCCATCTTGACGCGATGGAGACCGTAGAATTGCGAGATCAAAGTATTCGGGTTTTGCTCGACATGTCTGTAGTATTCCGGAAGGATCTTCCGCAATAGCTTATGTTCGGAATGGTGAATTGTTTTGATAATGTACTTGTAGTCTCTAGAAAAGTAGAAGAAACTTCCACTCTTTCCCGGCGAGCCAAGTTCGGAAAGGATGTATTTACTGGTTAAGGACATCAGGTAGTCCGCAGGATCAAGTCGGAACTTTGCCCGAAGGTGACGGAAAACCCAGGGCGCATAGTCCTTGAATTTGAAATCGTATTTGGCGGAAGGGGTCAGTTCGTTTCCGGTTCTGCGCAACATCAATGATCAGTAATGGAACGGCAAATATAGTGAGCAATAACCTAGGCGCATACATGTCAAAAGAAAACTTGTGCTTGGCCTCAAAGTCCGCCGGAGTCAGCTCCCGATCCATCTTCGCATTGATTCTCGACACCGTGAACCGAATTCCGGTGAGCATGTTGTAGGCAGTAACATAATTCACATGATTCTGGTCGACCCTTGTGCCAACGATAACGTGGTCATCGTCGTCATCATCCCGACGTCTTCTCTTGGAAGCCCGCCTCTGCTTAATGGCTTCTGCCCATCGAGCCGCATCTTCGTCTGGAGGGGCATCGTCGGACAGCATATCGGACTGGTTGGTGCGGGTAGCGCGCCGGGCCAAGCTGAAAGAAGTACGACGAATTCCGGCCGTGGGAGACAAGCGACCGCTGCTGTAGGCAGCATCCTCGGTTTGGTCCCGACTACTTCGGCGCCCGCTGCTGTTTCGTGGGACTTGCAAAGTATGTCGATGTCGAAGGCCGGTGTTGTTCGGATCTTGCGCATTACCATCCAGGCCAGATGGTACAGGAGGAGAGGAGTACCGGTGAGGATTCTTCTGAGAGGGCGAGGAGGGCGACAATCGATCGGGATCCGGCGAGAGACGACCAGCGTCATCAGGCTGAGAGGTGGACAATCGCGTGCCCGAAGCATTAGCCACTACATCGGGAGCAACCAATTCATCAGCGGACGGTCGAGGGTAGTCTCCATTAACCGTCGGCTTGCCGTTGAGCGACCGGGGGGTCAGCGTTCCATTGATCTGCTGGCTAGTGACCGATGCCGTCGGAGAGGCTGCACGAGCGCTTCTTTCAACTGACTTCCTAGAGACATCGCGATCCAATGTTGTCGAGGGCCTCCCGCCTTCCCTGGGATCCCGAGCCGAACCATTTCCCAAGGAGTGCATGCTGCCGTCTTTCGAGTGCGGCAATTCCCTCGTATATGAGCTGGCGCTCGAGCGCGGACCATTCAGGGAGTAAGCACTGCCGTTGGTGAGTTGGCGGTCATTTGGAGGGGCATCCAGATGGTTCGTGTCGCCATTGGGCCAATTTGTCCATAGGAAAGTATTCCCCACGGATGTTTTCTCCGACGTTTTGCCCTGCGGCGAGTCGAATGGACGCGGGTGAGTGGCAGTTGCAGTGGACGATTGATATGCGACGTCGTTAGAAAAGGAGGGCATGGTCGCTTGGGTGGCTTCGGGGGAAGAAGTCAAGCGGAGATAGAAGAGGTAGGGAGAGCGGGGAGGGAGGAAGTAGCGATGAGGAACGGTTCGGTATTAGCCTCAGGATATGGGGAGGAGGAGGTAGTAGGTCCCGGGTCGTTGGAAAGTCGAAAGACGCTATCGGCGACGCAACGGGTAGAAGGGAGGGGGAGAGTGCGAGAGGAAGGGGGGAAGGAGATTAATCGATCAATGGCAGCGGTTGCAATGCAAGAACAGTCAAAGTTCCCGGATTAAGCTGGGGAAGCCAGCGGGCGGCAGAAAGTTTAACGACTGATAGGCATATTCAGGCGAACACTAGATGAGGCAGATGGTACGGCACAATGTACGTGTCCGCGTTTGAGGTTTGCGTGGAGGCTGGTAGAATCGGTCCGATGAAGGTGACGGGGGGGGTGTGGAAAAGGTGTACAATCGAAATTAAAACAGGTGGGAGAAACGAAGAGTGTACGGTCGGGGTATCAGTTGCAGAAACTAGCGACAAGCAGGAAAAGGAAAGGATGAGGTTGGCAGCGATAGGGAAAGACGAAAGACGACGAGTTCTGGTAGAATGGAGAAAAGAGGAGGGTGAGAGAAGGGAGAGATGATGGGGGGGAACAGCAGGATAAGAGAATGAAGTTGGAGCGAAGACGCAAGAGAGCGAGAGAGCGAAAGAGAGCGAAACGGGAGAGCGAGAGCGAGAGAGAGAGAGAGACAGCCCGAGAGAGACTCAAGAAGATGCCAAGGTCCGAAACGGTACCCGTATTTCGCAAGCTAAAAAAAAAAACGAACGAACGAACGAACGAACGTGGAGAGTTTACGGCTTGTACTGTGCCTTGGCCAGAACTGGTGGAAACTGGTAATGGTAATACCACGCGAAAGGGGAAGAGAAGGAGACACAGACAGGCACAACTACGTAGAGAGCGAGCGAGAGAGAGAGAGAAAACGAATGAACAGTGCAAAGAAAAGAAAGGAAGAGAAGAAGTCTAGGGAAGATTTGTCAATCCTTTTCCTTTTGACATCAAAACAACAAAACCCCCCTTCCTGTCTCACTTCTCCAGCCTAATAATAATATGATCTGAGAGATTATACGTGTGGTTGTTATTATTATTTTTATTACGATGATTATTAACTCCTTCCCAGAAGTTGTTGAAAAACAAAGTTAGACCCAGAGTGCAAAAGAAGGGGAAGTGAGTCTGGGTCCGATAATAAGGAAAGTAGCACCAGCTCCACTCTTCAGCTTGCCTCGGGTTGTTGGTTGGGTACTGATCCGTGAACCGATGAATGGCAAGTAGTACTTTAGAGTAAGTAGTGAGAGTAGTATATCTGGAATCACACCCTCCATCAGAAAGAAAGAAAAAAGTTAGATTCTAAATCTGAGCAGTCAGAGATCATTGAACAATCTTCAACCCCATCCCCATGCAAATATGCAAAAAAAACAAGGTATCTTATCTCTCCGGTGTTGTCCGCCCCCTCTCCTCCCCGTGACTGACCGAACCACTCATACACACATACATACACACATACGGTATGAGGATAGTATGTAAGTATGGTGGTATCAGGAGGCTTGGCATGATGACCCCGTCGCAGGCAGACATCTAAAAGGTCGTTAATCATTTAACCATCCTCACGCCCTGAGCCGATCAACCTACTGAACCCTTAACTAAGCCCTGGAAGGATTCTCTCTCTCTCTAGCTGTTCTCGTCAATTGAACAACAAAGACACTTTCCCATCTACAGGGCACCATCCTAAGATGTAATTGTCAAAAAAAATGGCTACCCTCTAAAAGGGGAACGAGGCACAGTAAGGTACAACCGAAACCTCCTTGCCACTCACACACACTGGCTGCATGCAAGACAAGAGATAACCATCCAACACAACGACCACCGGAGAGATTAATCGAGCACGTACAGCCAGGATGCATAAGGAACATCTGTCGGGTCGTGTCTCCACCCGTCCATGACATGTTAGATTGGAAAATCGTGTTCGAGCTACTAATACTACTACTACTACTACTTTCAGAGAATGACTAGCCGGCCCCTGATTGAATCTTTGGGGGAGGAGCTGTCGCAATGATCTCCTGCGTATGGAGTAGATTAGTGGGAACAATCATATCCAACAACACCTGGCCTCTCTGCGCCCCCGTCGATTGTTATTGCCTGCGATTTAAAAGTAGGGATGGGCAGATGAAGCACACTTACTAACTCCCTCCACACACTCTCTCTCACTCACTGTAAAGGCAGCCCAGCCCACACCCCCTGGTTTGATGATTACGTGCCCGCCCAATGCAGGAATGACCCTCGTCAATAAAAAAATGACGAATGATAGCTACAGACCTTCCATCTCTCAGGTCATGTACGGAATAGATACATCTGGCTTGCATTATGGCTGCCAACGTCAGAATTCCTCCGGGAAACGATGGTGGCTGGGGGGCTGGGCGAGGGTTATACTATCAACCAACTACAACTAACTAATCAACGACCCGGCGTCTCGACTCAATTCCTCAAACTCGATATGTGACATTCGATACAACAACAGAATCAAATTAAGTGGTATATTTGTATCCCCTTAACAGTACTCCATAGTTGCAATTCATCCCGCCCTTCCAGTGGGTTCTGCACTGATGATCACCAGTAATGCCAACGTCACATCATCATCCCTCCTCCCCCCCAAAATCCAACTTCCTCCTTGCCCTGACGCAATGGGTACTACTCACAAGGTAGGGAGTTTCCCACCACCCACGATGTATCAGGTCACCTGGAAAGCAAATCAATCCAATCACTGAACGAATTAACTTAACCTATCCTATCCCATCCCAACCCTGGCCAGGGATGAACATTCTATGTGTGTGAGTGTATGAGTTCATGCAGAAAGACAGAAAGAAATAGAAAGATACTTGGGTTACATACACCACTTGACGTCGTCCTGAATTGAATCAATTCATTTCAATGTCATTTGTGTATCCCCAATACCGGGCCACCATACAGCCCCGAGACCCCTGTATCCTGGTATCCCGTATTATTGCAAGCCCCGGGCACATACCCTCATAACTCTTCTCGGATTTAACCAAGTACTACTCCGTAATTGACTGAGAAGTAGTTAATACTGAATTTATGAACACAATTACTTAACCAATACATAGTACATCCCTGACTCAGCGGAGCCACCGGAAGAGAAGGAACAGAAGAAGCAGAGGGAGGCAAAAAAATGGAACCTGAAAGTGGGCAATTTGCTATTTTTGGTCGGGGAGGACCCGGTCGGGTGCTAAAAGTAAGTAGGTAATCTAGTATCTTACTGGCTTTTAGTCGAATGAGCTTCCGGCTTCCGTCCACGCTTCGGTATCGAATAGAAATCCTCATGGTTAGTTCTTCCGAGTTACCTACTACTACTTAATTACTTTGATTGTGAGTGATTTCATCCGACTCTAGTCCACCGGGGAGCGAGCCGGTCCACTTCTTTCCTTCCTACTAAGCACATCCGCGGATGCATATACACATTAAGCTTAAAATCCACTGTTTGGAGCTACTGTGTATAAAGGCGTGCATTTGGTCCTTGGAATCACGTTAGTTGCAAATCTTTTTGCGCATCATCGGGGATCAATCCTTGAGTTGTGTTGCGGTGCCGAGTACTGCGCCAGTGGCATGTATAGTTGCTATAGAACGTCTCTACCACGAAGACTACGGACCCGCTACACTGCAGCTCGACTCAATTGAAGAAATGGACAAGCAGTTTCATTGCATAACGTCACACCTGCCCTTGGACAAGTGCCCCAAAAAGAAAACATAAGAGTCAAGCACAAAACATATCCCGGTGCAAGATCCATCGCAAGACGCCAACCCTACCGACACTGAAAACGAAAGTGTAAACAATCCACGGCATATCCCAGAAGCAGTTCCCCCATTGATCAAAAAGTGGCCAAGGAACAAAAAAATAAGGACAATAAAAAATTACAGCAGAAGAGACAAAGGGAATATAGCTCGAGAAAGATCATCCGAGGCGCACATCACCGACTAGGAGGAGCCGGGTTCAAGTGGTCGCTGACAACACGGTCTCAGGCGCCCACAGATTTAAGCAGCAGTCTCCTTTGCAGCAGCCTTCTTAGTGGTCTTCTTGGTGGCCTTCTCTGCAGGCTTAGCCGTCGTCTTAGTCACCCGGCCACTCTTGGTGGTTTTGAGGACCTTGGGCTTGTCGACAACGGCGGGAGCCTGCTTCAAGATTAGTATACCCTGTCCGCCGGGTGTGAGAAGGCAGGAGTCTACAACTTACCGTAGTGGAGGACTTGCGAGGCTTGGCCGTGTTAGCCTTGGGCCTGCCAACAGGCTTCTTAGCAGTGGTGGTGGCCTTCTTGGTGGTCTTGGGCTTCTCGGCCTTCTCGGCCTTCTCAGTCTTCTCGGTCTTCTTGGCAGCAGGCTTCTTAGCAGTAGCAGCCTTGGTGGCAGTCTTCTATGGACGGTGTTAGTAATAGTTCTCTATCATTTCGAAATGTCCTTGATAAAGACTTACCTTAGCAGCAGGCTTGGGGGCAGCTTCCTTCTTGGCAAGCTTCACGGGTCCGGAGGGGCCTGGTTGACGACGCGTCAGTTGACACGCCCCATCAAAAAAAAAAAAAAAAAAAAAAAAGACCGAAAAATGAAAGACGCGAACGACGACAGTCAAGACACATCCTTCCGTGTCAGGAGTATCGAATGCCGTTGCGACATGAGAAGGCAAAAAATGCGCGCGATGGATTGACTTACCCTTGGGCTGAAGGAACTCGCCCTTCTCAACACCAGCCTTGATGGCCTTGTTGAACTGGCTGTCGAAGGCGTTGGTGGAGGCAGAAGCAATCTTGTTGTTCGCCTGAACATATTTCTTGATTGACTGGCGGCTACAGTCGAGGAGAAACAAGACGAGTCAGCCGAGATCGCGACCTGGACAGGGTGGTAGGTTGCCACGTCGCCAGCGAACGGGACCCTGCATCGGGCGGGGGAGAAGAAACACCAAACAACTTACCTGCTACCATTGCGCTCTTTCAGCTGTTGCGAAAGAAGTCAGCGACCCATTTGGGAGGTGAAACAAGCAGGAGCCCGATGGGGCGTTGGGACAATTAAGCACCGTGTAGACGTGTCACGGTCGGAGATCCCGTCCAGCGCCCGTTCATCCCAACGCGCACCGGGAACAGCGTGATTAACTCACATTCAGGATAGCATCCTTGATCATATCTATATTCATGGAATCAGCAGTCATTCGCGACAAAAACGATATTAATTTCAATTCTACGCGATGGGTTGGTGGTGGAAGATCAGTCAAAACATACCACGGTAGGAGGCGTGGCTCGAGCCGGACTTCTTGGTGGTGCCGGTGGTGGAAGTCTTCTTGGGAGGCATGATGTAAGAGGGATGGGTGGTATTATCTGAGATGAAATAAAAGGTAGTTGATGGATGATGGACAAGAGAGAAAGTACAGATGATTTGACAAGCAAGGATGGGATGGTGGGATGGAAGCAGAGAAGAAGAAAAGCAGTCAACGACGGAAGGGGTGGAAGGCCGCGGGGCATCCGCGCTTTATAGGGCAGCGGGTGTTGACACAGGATCAACTCGACAATCGAGCACAACACGTCAGGTCGCCCTTCTCCTCTTTTTTTTCTCCCTCATTCCTTTTTTTAAGATTTTTCTCTCCTCGTCTCTTTTTGCGTGTGAGATTTATCTGTGTCTTTGCCTCGGTTGCGTAGTGGCTCAAATTAATTTGGTTTTATTGTATCAATGTTCGTGTAGTTCTTCTTGTAGATTGTCTATGCATTCCTTCTGGGCCGAGTTGCTGCTTCCTACTATTTCTTGACGCGCATGATCCAGCAATGATTCCTACGCGTGCTCACTTCCCTTCAATTTTCCCCCTTTCCTCTGAGTCGTACAAAGCTAAGAGTTGGTCGAAGCATATCTTTAGTGGCGCTACTATCATCCTACTACCTTGAATTATTTTTATCAATTTTTGTTGTTCCTAAAACCCGCAACCATTCTGATCCCAACATCATCCGTCTCCGTTGTGATTGATGCTTTTCGCATCCACCACACCATCTCCAGTCGCATTCATACCACACCCAACAATTCAAATTTCTAATCAAATAAAGACCATTTTCAGATTCTTCACAGACTTATCATTCACTATATTTACAAAAATAACCAAAATACGTAGTCAACCCCTAATTCTAGCCCCAAAATCCCCGGGGACTCCAGATCACATCCATCCGTATCCGCCCGATTACTTGCAGTCCGATCAAGCTCCCGGATCATCTTCCAACTTACACACGATGATCATAAAAAAATCGAACCGATTTGACGCCCCCCTTTCCCCTTGCATCAATCACATTCATTGGTCTTCACGTCTGGCGGGGGGCGCAAATCTATGAATGGAACGGCCGGGGGAAGGAGGCGTTCATGTTTCACTTTGTTCTGCTTTCCCTCGTGCGGAGGCTCTGGGGTCACGAGGTGCGAGATGATGTTATGGATTTGACTTTGGGGAAATTGGGGGGTAGACCCAGCTCTGGACTACCGTTTCTACTAGCTTTGTAACCAGGTGAAAGGTCCTGGGGAAATCCGGGCCTATGATCGACCCTTCTTGCTCTGTGATCCAAAGCTCCATTGACTTTGATCCCGTGGTTACATCGGCTTGGCGGTTGCTCGCGGTTCGATGGCTTGGAAGTAGATAAGTGTGCCCTTTTCCCTTGTGCCACCTGGTCTGATCTCTATTTCATTGGCTTTCGCGTAGGTATCTCTTTATGGGATTAGGTATTCGTTTGGGGTTGTTACGCAGACTTGAATCTAGAATGATAGTAGATGGTTGATATCGGCGGCGGGCCGGTTGATCGATTGATGCCATGCGCCGGATCACGAGTCCTGATAAGAGGACACTCTCTTTCTTGATCCTCGTCCCAAACCACCGTATTCACGGGTCTATTCCACATGGTAGCTTAATCTTTGATGCCTAGAATAACTCCGGTACTGAAATTGCATATGACAGCTAATGGACGACTGGTTAAG